TTCATCCCTCTCACCCTAGGTCTGAAAACCCTAGGGTTTTGACCTCAAATACCTTCCATTTGCCTAAGGATTGGCTAAGATCTCTTACAAAGAAATGAAAAAGGCTTGAAGATCAACATTTTCAACCGAATAGAATTTGGATTGGTGAAGGATTCTTCTCAAAGCTTTCTTTTCTTGCTTGATTCTTGAGGTAGGGGTCCTAGTTCTCCTTCAATACTTCCATAAATAGATAGATTTATGGTATTTTGAATATATACATATAAAACTCACATTTTTGAGCATATAGTGTACATCATGATTTTGGGGTTTAGGGTTTGAAGTGTTGGGGGTTCAATTGTTGAGTTAATAAGGTGGATTATGAACCTTAGGTGTTTAATCAATGGGAAGATTGGAATAAAGAGTAGTGGTTTAAGAAGTTTGAATTTTTCTTGAAATTCTTGATTTTCTTGAAAACCCTAAGTTGATTCATGACGATAAACAATGATTTTACCCAAATTGAAAGTAGAATCATGAAATTGGTAGGTTAAATTATATATATACAAGTTTAATTGGATTTTGGAGGTGTTTGAAAATTATGTTAAAAATTAGCGATTGAACCTTTGTTATGGATGTTGTAAATTATGCTATAATGTGAAATGAAGATTGGGGAAATGATTATGGATGACATGAGCCTTGGGGTGAAAGGATGAAATAAAGGTTTAAGAGTTCACCTTGAACTATGTTGAATTGTGTTGACTATGTTGAATAAGGTTGATTATGTTGAGTTGTGTTGAATAATGTTGAACCGAATTGTGTTGGATTATGATGAATTGTGTTTGAATCATGTTGAATTGTGTTGAGTTGAGTTGTGTTGGGTGTGTTGAGTTTGAGTTGTGTTGTGTTGGGTCATGTTGAGTTTGGGATGAGTTGGGTTGGGTGGTGTTGTGTTGGTACCCGGGGGGAAATTGAAAGATGATACAGAATTTGTGATAAGATGATGAATTGAAGATTTAAGAATTTTATTGTATAATTAGAAAGTGATTGTATACCTCAAAACTAAAAGCCCAACTTTATATTTAACTCTAGTTATGAAGTTTTATTTTGAAAAATGAGGATGATACTTCAATCAACATTAAATTTATGAAATTAAGTCTATGTTGGGTTAAGATGAGTATGAATAATGATAAATGGGAGATTGTGAAATATGACGATGTTATATGAAAGAGTTGTATCAAAGAAAATTAAATGTTGGAGATTTAATTGATAACCGTGGGTAGTAATTGATAATCAATGTGTTTAAAAAAATTGAATTTGAAGACTTGATGATAATATGGAAAAGTAAAGAAATAGTTTGAACCCAAGAATTATGAACACTTTAAAGATGAATCTTTGCCTCTATGGATGTGTTGTTATATTTTTGTGTGACAAAACAATGAATGATTTAATGGATAATGAAGAAGGTCATGGAACATATTTGTACTTGTTATGTGAATGTAATTTTAATAAATGGTGGATGTATATTGAATTAATGTGTTACGGAAATAATGGAAGATGTGTTGGCATTGTCCAGTAATTGTAATGATGGATTGTGATGATATCTTGGGGCCCGTTTCTTGCCGTATTTGAGCCGGCAAAGCGTGGCGCTTGAGATAGGTTCCGCCTTCCTTCCGGAGTAGCACCCGGTAAAGCGTGTGGTATGTTGAGGTTCCGCGTTCCTTCCGGATGGTGACCGGTAAAGCGTGAGGTTCCGCGTTCCTTCCGGCTTGTGACCGGTAAAGCGTGAGGTTCCGCATTCCTTCCAGCTTGTGACCGGTAAAGCCTGCGAGTCATGGAGATGACTTGTGATTGGATCCGGTATTTGATATGAGATTAATTGAAAGAATGGAAAATGAAATGGTAATTGGATTATGGATTGGTGTTGATACACTCAATGGATTGCTTGTGATTAAAATGGAAGATTATGAGTTTTGTTTTGTAAATAATAGAGGAATTGAATTAAAAAGGGATTGATATTCTTGTGTCTTGCTTGTATTCTATTTGGTAATGCAAACGTTAATGTGAGGTAATTGTTGGGCAAGTTGGAGTTGAGTGTATGAGGATTGTCTTTTTGAACATAAAGGAAATTGGATCTTGACATTATGGAGTTATAGTGATTGGAAATAGTATAAGGGAAAAAAATGGAAATGAAATGAGAAATATTTTGGGAATTCGTTAATAATTTTTAAATGATGTTGTTTCTTAAACATGTTGGTTTCACAAGAATCTATGGTTTTCTAAAGTTAATGGACGAATTTTAGTGGCTGAAGGATTTTCTTAAAAGTGTTCAAATAGTTTTTGAGAAAAGGTACTCTACTTATGATATTTTGAAGTTATAAAACGGCACTCTACTATATGGTATCACCCCGCATGCATGATCTTTTCTATTTGTGTGTTAGTTATTGATTGAGAACTATGAGATTCCTACGGGGCATTAGTACTCACTCTATTGTTGTTTTACCTTTTTACAGGAAGAAAGTTTGGATTCTTTGATTGAAGAGTTGAGAAGTCCATGTGTCTTTTATATGTAATTTCACTGTAGATGTGATGCATCCTGTAATTGTATTTTATTCATTTATAGCTTCACAGTAGGAGATTGGCGTGTATTGTTGACATTGTAATTTTCATTGAGAGAGAAAGAACTTGTACCATTGTATTCCTATTACTCAAGTGTAATAGATATTTGTATATGTATAAAAAAAATATGGACCTAAATTTACAGGCTTTGGTAATGTTTTCAAGTAATTAAAATTCGGGGCGTGATACATAACATAATTAAATCCAATTCGGACCTAATTAATCAAATCTCAATTTTACAAATTTGAATCAAATATTTAATTGAGCTCCCATACGGTCTGGCACTCGAAATTGAAATAATTCAACTCACTAATTGTTCTTTCTTGAGCCAATTAGGCTTTTAATTTCTAATTCCAAAATAAATCTTCAATAGAATCATATACAAATCAGTCTCTATAATTTTCATAATTCTCGAATTAATTTAGAATAGTAGAAAATTAAAATTCAAATTTCCATCATTAATTAAATATAAAGTATTACACAGTGGGGTTATCACACTCTCTCTCGCTTTAGAAAGTTTGTCCATAAAACTTGAGCCATTTGTATTGCAAATAATTCACCAACTTTGTCTCATTCCATTTATGTTCTCAAGTAACTTCTTTACTATTTGCTTTTCGATTCATAGGAGTTTAACTCATTATCATTTATTTATTGGTTATTAACCCAAAATGGTTTAGTCACCAAAAATTATTCTGCAATGCAATGATGGGTCTCAAAGTCAACTTCATAGCATCAAAACACAAAACACATCGTCCATAACACTCATATATCCTTGTTTTACTATCCACATATCTCCAAATAATTCACATGTTCCCCAAATTATCAAAGCTCAATCTCAAATGATATTCATGATTACACTCCCTTGTTTCCAATGAATCAAAATATTCTGTTACTGACATCCATGAGCCTTCAAAATAGGCTAAGTATCTAATATAACCTTAATATCAAATTCAAATCTTGGTTCACAAATTCCATAGCCACATTAGTCCAAATATTCGTTCCCATACAACTTACATGCCTTATTTATAAATCAAATAGGAGGGTCATTTACATTCGGAAGCCACAATAACTTCTTTCAGCATGTTAACAACATTTACTTATCATACATTCTAAGAATCTATACGGAGGGCATTAAATCAGATCCATAGTATAACACTTCCATTAAAATAGATCCTTCAGGTAACAAAGAAATCCTTAATACATAATATTAGCCTCAAAGATCAATTCAGTTTATAACGAAATGATTCCGACAAACGGATGGCTCCCAATCAAATCATACAAACAATTTGCTTGCAATTAGCTTATGCACTTGAAATAATGGTCTTAACATATCGAAGTGTCCCTATTCTAATTATCTTAGCATTTCAGATCAAGTTTCAATTATCCTATCTTAGCATTTCAGCTTAAGTTTTAATTATCCACACAAAAGAATTCTAAACTTTCCAATAGTCGTTCGAGCATACATAGAAATTAACACTTCTTGCATTAATTAAATATATTTTCATTGATCTTTCTTACCACGAAACTTCCCAACACATTCTTTGATTCTTTTGTTGAGTCCATACTTAACTTCTTCTTTTGATCTTCTTGTTTCTCATGACACCCCAGCTGAACGCGATTCCAATCGGACTTTCAAGGTCATTCAACAAAGGTATAAGATTCTACGGCTCATACGTTATGTCTTTCACCATATCAACATACCTTATTCATATTAAACAATGTTCTAACTCTCAATCACTATAATTCCACATGCTTTATCGATCACCAAATATCTCAATCACTATAGTTCCACATACTTCATTGATCATCAAATGTCTCAATCTCCCAAATATTCTCATAGTCTAATTTAACATGCAACCCATATAATTTTCATTGCTTCAAGTGAAGATCTAAGTCTCTTATCCTATCATGTTTCCACAAATCAACATGCTTGTACTCACCATTATTCTAGTCAAAACCCCAAAATTCCATAATCATTCCTAACCTTAGCCTCAATACAACATTTATTAAGCAAACACATTCTCATTTCCTTATAATTATCAAATTGTCAAATGACTTTCAATCCTTAGTCTCAATACTTAGGCTAAAAAAACAAACAAATCTTGATCTCCGCTTATCATCAAAATTTCATGAGGACTTCTTCTCAATCTCAATACCTAACTTATTACACAAGCTCACATACATCTTTTGAATTGCACATGTCACTTCATTACAAAATACGTACAACTTAAATGTATTCTAGACATGCTAATGGTCAATGGACAAGTGTGTGAGATCTTAACGCGTGCTCTAATACCACTCTATAATGACCCAAACCTGCCCCTAAAGGTTTAGGCCATGACCGGCCTGTACTTAGGCCTCAATGACAAAATTTCAAAAAAAAATTATTCAATAATGGGGCCTTAAGCGGAAGTAGAACAAAAATATTAAATATCTATTAAGCTGTGCATACATGATGACCTGAAATAATTAAACCATTGAACTACACTTTCAATATTTACATATACAATGATAGAGCTTATACATATCTCACACACTATATGAAAGACTTGAAACAAAACTAGGCTTGGCAAAATAAGAGTATGCCTCTACACAGAGGCACTTCATGGGTGGCTTGGCAGAGAAGCGGACTCTGGGATAAACTCTAATGCTGATCCTTCGATTGCTCACCTACACACACACATATATATATATAACGATGAGCTAGAGCCCAATGAGTAATAAGAAAGTAAAGAGGTTAATGAATGATGTCCTTAACATTAGGAAAACATGTCTTACAATTCCGAAACATATCTTAAATCATTTTTAGAGCAAACATTTATGGTATCAAAATCCATGCTTTCTTAAATGAAACATATATCTGAATTCATTACAAAACATTTTACGTGTTACTTGGTACATCTATATACAAAGGGTCACAAATGCATTTCAAAAAGGGACATTCATTTATTCATAAAATATAGCATTTTTTTTTTTTAAACATGAGTCATACAATGGTTTCCAAAAACCCATATTCACTTCACATTTACAGAACGACCTCGGGTCCATAGAACGGCCTCGGGCCCACACATAGTACGGAACTATCTCAGGCCCAATCACATGTCAACAGCTGTTCAGAACGATCTCAAGTCCAATCATATCTTATCGTGGAGTAGATGGAACATCGACATGTCTCCACCTCTCACATAGAACGAAATGGCCTTGGGACTAACATATCATAGCATAAACGGAACATCCTTGGGCCCACATATCATATTACAAACAGTCCACATTCCACATTCATAAACCACATCACATTTCTGGAAAATGCATTCATTTTGAACAAAATAATGTTCAAAAAATCATGTCGTTCGTAAATCAAAATAGATAACTAAGAACTTATCTTTACGTTACTATTACTCACATTGCGTTATCGGTTGAGCCACCTCGACGGAGAAACCTACAAAAACATATGCAACTATAATATCTTAATTCACATTTCATTTATTCAGTTCATTCATTCCTTATTCGTTCATAAATTTTCTTTTCATTCTTTAATTGTGTATTCAGTGTGCATATTGAAAAGTCTAAGGTATCCTACAACAATTTCATATGTTTTTAGTGCAAATATCATGTTTACATATTTAAGATTTAAGGAAATAGCAAGAAATGAAAGGAAACTAAGTTAAGATAGGAATGGCATGAAATAGTTAAAGAGAAAATGAGCAGTTTTCACTAATTTAAGCATATCTATTTGTGTACTTATAATTTCGATGTGAGATCACTACCATTGGAAACTAGACTTCCGAGGCAAGAATTTGGGATCAAGAATCGCTTAAAACAGAGTCCAGATGAAGGAGATATGCCTTTTTGAAGTTGGGCTGAAACAGGAGTGCTGCACGTGCAGTAATGGGTTTCGCATGTGCAGAAAATGCTGTTGCAGAACACCTGTTTTGGTCTGAAAATCTCGCACTTTTCTTATCTATTTTTTTTCGTTTCTTTCAGGGTTACAAAATATGATTTTAGGCTCATAGCACTCTTGAAAAGTTTTATGAAATCATCATCCTTTTTAAGGCATCAATCTCGAACTATAATTTGTTCCAAGATAAAAAATAGATCAAAACATATGATTTCTTAAGGAATTCATGAGTTCTATTTCTTTTCTCTTCAAATTCTCACTTCCACCCTTTCAAAGCATGAATCAAGCTTTCAAAACTCTTAGAAACCATATAGATGCATGAAGATAAAGCCTCTAATGCATCAAAAATATCAAAACCTACATGGAATTAGCATGAATCCACCTAGCCTGTTCTTCGTCCTATCCTTTCTTTTCCATTTTCTTCTCCATAACTTTGTTTCTAACTCAAATTAATCCTAATTTCTTCTTAATCTTGAATAACAGGGAGCTTTTCCATAGAGATTAAATCAGGAATCTTACCTTGGACTTGTTAAGAATTGAGTTTTGATGTAATTCTTTGAACCTCTCTCCTCCCTTCTTTCCCTTCTTTTTTTCTCTCCTTCGATTCTTATTATCTTCTCCGAAACCCTTTCTCTCCCAAAATGTCTTCTTTGTTGAGTCTATCTCATCTAAGGCCCATATACTTATATATATAATATTTAATAAAATCAATTTAATTCATTCTGAATCAGATTTTTACAAAACTTCATACTAAGCTTTAAAAATTGTGCTGATAATAAATATTTAATCAGTTTTGTTAAGGTCCTCAATTTTCCATTTAAAGCTGTAATTTCAACAGATTTTTCTACAATCAACAGATATAACTTCAAATCCTTATAATTCACATCCTTAGACATGTAATTCCACAACAACGACATAATTAAACTAATCATGACTAATCACAATTCCCACATAATTTAATTAACCTAATTTGACTTCCATTAGAGCACAACTAAATATATTTAAATTTATCAGTCTGAATCATATTTTTTAATCAAATTCCCGAAAGGCTCCAAATATCAAATTAAGTTTATTTCCATCAGCAATTTTGATTTCTCACATCAGTAAGGCCTTCAATTTCAAGTCAAACTCAAGGTCTCCGTCAATAAATTACATACTCAAATTAAATACCTCATAAATAAATTTAATTTGCAATAATCTTAATTCCCACTTCTCATAACATAATTAACTTCAATTCAAACCCAATTAATCAAATCTCAATTTTACAAATCTGTCGAATATTTAATTAAACTCCCATATGGTCCGATACTCAAAATTGTAATAATTCAATTCACCAATTATTCTTTCTTGAGCCAATTAGGTTTTCAATTTCTAATTCCAAAATAAATCTTCAATAGAATCGTATACAAATCAGTCTCCATAATTTTCAAAATTCCCAAATTCAATCAAAATAGTAGGCAATTGAAATTCAAATCTCCGTCATTAATTAAATATAAAGTATTACACGATGGGGTTATCACATTCTCTCCCCCTTTAGAAAGTTTGGTCCTTCAAACTTATGCCACTTGTATTGCATATAATTCACGAACTTTGTCTTATTCCATTTCTATTATCAAGTAACTTCCTTACCATTTGTGTAACAATCCCATCGTGTAATACTTTATATTTAATTAATGACGAAGATGTGAATTTTAATTACCTACTATTTTGATTTAATTTGGGGATTATGAAAATTATGGAGACTAATTTGTATACAATTTTATTGAAGATTTACTTGGAATTAGAAATTAAAAGACTAATTGGCTCAAGAAAGACTAATTATTGAGTTGAATTATTTTAATTTTGAGTATCGGGCCATATGGGGGTTCAATTAAATATTCGATTCAGATTTGTAAAATTGAGATTTGATTAATTGGGTCTGAATTGGAGTTAATTATGTTATGAGGAGTGGAAATTAAGATTATTGCGAATTCAATTTATTTTTGAGGTATTCAATTTGAGTATGTAATTTATTGACAGAGACCTTGAGTTTGGCCTGAAATTGAGGGCCTTACTGATGTGAGAAAGCACAAGTGATGATAGAAATAAGCTTAATTTGATATTTGGAGTCTTTTGGGAGTTTCATTAAAAATTCTGATTTAGACTGATAATTTAAATATCATTAATTGGGCTCTAATGGAAGTCAAATTAGGTTAATTAAATTATGTGGGACTTGTGATTAATCATGATTAGTGTAATTATGTGGTTGTTGTGGAATTGCATGTCTAAGGATGGGAATTATAAGGATTTAAAGTTGTATCTGTCTGTTATAAGAAAATCTATTGAAATTATGACCTTTGGACTGAAAATTGAAAGCCTTAGAGGCACGATAAACCGAAACTGACCACATAGTTATGATCAGCATGATTTATAGAGCCTAGTAAGAAGTTTTGTAAAAATCTAATTTATAATGAATTAAATTGATTATATTAAATATTATATTTTATATATATGTATATATGTGTATGAGCCTTGCTTGGCTCAACATAAAGAAGAGAGGAGAGAAAGATATTTTGAGAAGCAGATGGTTCTGGAGAAGAACCAAGAGAGAGAGAGAGAGAGAGAGACATCCATGGAATTTGAAGACAAAATTGAAGAAAAAGGACTTGAAGAGATTTAAGGGAAAAGTAAGGATTTGAACTAAGGTATGGAAATCTATCTTGAACCCTTATGATTAATTCATCAATTCATGAAGTCATAAAAAGATTTGAAGATTTGAAACCCATTTGGGTTAGGGTTTTGTGTTATGTATTTAATTGAGCCAAATTTAAGAAATTAGAACTTGAGTCCTTTGATTTTGTATGATTGGAGTTCAATCTTGTGAATAATATATGAAATGAACTCTAGATCGTCCATACAACAAGATTTATGCAAGGATCAAGTGTATTTGTGGGTTATGTTTTGGAACTTTTAAGATTATGAAAGATGAGATATTGATTTTGAACTTGAGGCAAAAATTGATGTGTTTGAGAGGAGATTTCACTTGAATACTGTTGGGTTATCATGTTTTCGAGTTGGTTTTGTATGAATTTGGGCTTGACAATTGGGTAGGAAAGATTACACCTTGACGTATTTTCGGACTGGGCAAAAATATCCAGAACCGCACGTGCGGCTAGGAGCCCCACACATGCAGAACACAGGGTCGGCATCAGATTCTAAAATAAAAGCACGTGCGAGCCTACACATGCGGTACTTTCCGCACATATGGTGAGGACTTCCGCACATGCGACAATCAAAGGGAAATTTCATCTATTTCTTTTGACTTTCTAAACATGTTTCTGACTACATTTAGACCCTTTGGGGATGTATAAGACATGTGAAATTCCATAAAAAGTAATGTAATGCATAGAGGGAGAGTACAAAAGCAAATATGAGATGATGAATGTGTTATGTAATTGTGTTTGTAGATCAAGACGAGGGCATCGCCCAACTGTTACCAGAAGCCCATCATTATGAATAATAGTATAGTAAAGATATGTTTTTCATTATCTATTTTGATTTATGTATGACATGATTCTATAAATATCGTAGTTTGTCAAAATGCACAAGTTTACAAGAAATGTGAAATGAGTTATGAACAAGAAATGTGAATTGTTTGTACTATGATATGGTGGGCCCAAGGCCGTTTCTTTTATCCATTCCATTTATGCTATGACATGATATGAATTGTTCGGTCTTTAAGACCTATTGATTTCTTGTATGGAACAAAGTGTTGTACGGAACTAAGTACTACAGTGGGAGTCACCTCTAGAATCCATACGAGTCACCTCTTGGGTCCATAGATACATGAATTGGGCCCAAGGAGAGGTGGAGACGTGTCTATGTTCCATCTACTCCATGATAAGATACAGTGATACGATATCATATGTTTGGACCTAAGGTCGTTCAGAACAGTGATATGATATGATATGTTTGGACCCGAGGTTGTTCAGAAAATGTGATATGAATACGAATATTTTTACTTCGCTATATGACTCATGTTTATGAAATATTAATTTATATGAATGAATGGATGTCCTATTTTGAAATGCGATTCTGACCCTTTTTATAAGTGGGCGTACCACGTACCACGTAAAATGTTTTGTATGGTTTCAGATATGTATTCCATTTGAAAAAAGCATGGATTTTGATACGATGTTTGTGTTAAAATGATTTAAGATACGTTTTAGAATTGTGAAATATGTTTTCCTAATGTTACAGACATCATTCATTAACCTCTTTACTTTATTATTACTCACTGGATGCTAGCTCACCCTTGTACTTTATATATAAATGTAGGTGAGCCATCAAAGGATCAACATTAGAGTTTGTACCGAAGTCCACCTCTCTGTCAAGCCACATAGGAAGTGTCTCTGTGTAGAGACATAGTATAATTTCCCAAGCTTAGTTTTGTTTAAAGGCTACTATATAGTTTGTGGGATTTGTGTATGTAAATATGGGAAGTGTATTTAAACGATTAAATTAATTTAAGTCTTCATGTATGCACAAGCTCAACAGACATT